AGCACAAAAGAACGTTTTCTTCAAAGAGTTTCAATCTTCTAATTTATTTCCATAATAGTAACCTTACATAGAGTGTATGTTCGGGAAACTGACAGGTTGATGTCTATTTCACAGATAGCTGTATCTTAAACTAGTAAGAAGCACTTGTCATTGGTATAGGGCAGTGGCTTGGATTTTCTCATAGGCTTTTTGTCTTTAATATAAAAGACAAATCTTTATAACCTATTTTTCCCAAGCAAAGCCATCTAATAAAGATTTCACCCTTTTTTATTTTAACTAAATCTTAATACAGAACTAACCCTCCCAGTGTACTGACTTTTCTTTACTCTTGAAATTAAAAAAAAAAAAAAATCAGTAAAAATACAGGCATTCACAATCCAGGAAACAAATGGTAAATATCTTGTTTTTCAATTTCGCAGGCTGTGTGCTTCAGCAAAGCACGGATGTGCTGCTTGGAGCCACGTCATTTTCTTTCCTCAAATTTCATACCATTGTTTCATTACCTTAACTCCTCTCACCATTCCACACTTCTGTTTATAAATTTATTTTACTCAGTTAAGTATGTTATGAATTAATTCTCATCTATCTCTCACATTTTTCTTAATTTTTTGTGTACATCCTTTTGCCTTTTGAAGTGTTAACATTTTTATGCAACTCAATGACAAATGGACTCACAGCATCAGCTGAAAATGTTGCATTTTAAAGAGCAGGTAAATAGAAAAGGTGGGGATTGGAGTGCTCTCCCTCACTGATACTAAAGCCAGAGATAGAAAGATGGGGACCTGGGAAGGTCTCTTTCCTTCTCCTCTCCCACTTGTCTTTTATTATTTTTTCCTAAGTGTGTGTGTGTGTGTGTGTGTGTGTGTGTGTGTGTGTAGGCATAGAGAAGAAGAAGAGAAAGAGGGAGAGAGGAAAGCAGGAGTTGTATAAAATTAGTAATTGCTAAAATGTCTATAGCTATCGCTTAAGCAGAAGCAAAGGGGTCTAAGGGATATAAAGAGTTGAAATGGGAGGGGGAAGTAGAGGGGGTCTTTTTAGATTGAGGAAGTAGAGCTGAACCATGAGGTTGTAGTACTCTAAAGCAGTCTGCATATAGTTCAAGGTTACAACTACAACCTACTAGATACCACATGTGCTGCATTTCCATATGGCCAAGGTTGGTGTTTGATCTTGTCCCTATCTCTCCCCTCCTCCTGCCTCCCTTTCCCTAACCTGTGGACTCCCCCAGCACATGCACACAGGACTCCGGCTTTCCAAACCCTTTGGTACTCTTGCCATCTCTTTCTCTTCTTTTTGGCCTCGAATCGGTTCTTATCCCCAGATTGTGCGGTAGGTGGTTGGCCTGGCTATCTGAGCAAGACCATCAGATAAAAACCTAGCTATCTCTGTTCAGAAGGTGTACTGTAAGGAAAGAGGTCGTTGCTTCTAGTGAGACTATGTGCATTTGCTGATTCTTGAGTAAGTAAGTGCCTTTTCATTGACTCCTCTCCTCCAAAACAATTAAAACATTGATCTAAGTGGCAAGTGTATATAGGAAGAATTTTTGACCTGAGGTACTCTGTGGGCTTCTGGTCTACCCACTCCCATCAATCCAGAAATCTGACCAGTCTCATAGCCTTCTCTCGATTTTCCTCCTCACTTTCACAAACACAGAATAAAGCAGAATAAATAAAGTCGAATAAAGCATTTGGGGAGAATGAAGGTCAGAATCACTCTGACCTTCAGAGTGATGTGAAGGGCCCAAGAGCCACTCACGCTTGCACTAAAAAAGCAATATATACATATTGCACAAATATTAATTTTCATTAAGAATTAGAATGACAGAGAAGTTACAAGAACTATACAATTAGCTACCACGTACACTTTACCTAGATACATCAATGGAAGTGCTGCCATATTTATCTTTGCTCAACCATTTGAGAATAAATTGCATACATCACTTATTCTCAATTGCTAAACTATGTGAGAACAAGTTGTATATATACAGACTTATATCCCTTAATACTTCATTATTTTTTAACAAGGGCCCTGTCTTTCATAACATAGTACAATTATAAAATCCAAGAAACTTACCATTGAAACAATATTCATATCTAATATTTATAGGTATCTAATGTCTATATTCATATTAGATATTCATATTTATATCTAGTCCATATTTAAATTTCCACAATTGTCTGGAAAATTTCCTTTGTAACATTTTTTTAGGATCATATGTTGCCTTTAGTGGCACCTCATTAATCCCCTAATCCTCAAACCATTCCTTAACCTTTGTCTTTCCGGACTGACTTTTTTCTTAAGAAGATAGGTCAGTTGTTTGGTAGAATGTCTCTCAATTTGCCTTTTTTGATTGTTTCTTTGTGACAGATTCAGCATATGCCTTTTTACAGGGATATCACATGAGAGATATGTGTCCTCACATCAGGAGTCACGTCACGTCATTTTATTCCATAACTGGTGACACTGATCATCTGGTTAGAATGGTGTCTGTCAGATCTCTCCACTGTAGAAGTGCCTTAGTTAAATCTTTACAATGAACAAAAATCCAAAACTACTTTCAGACTGAATTCCCTGGCCAAGCTTCACCCAATGATTTTAATATCTATTGGTAGTTCTTGTCTAAAGTTAATTATTATTATAATAGTGTCAAATGATGATTTCATAATTTCATCAATTCTTCTATATGTATTAGTTTGGCACTCCACAGATGAGGCCTTTCACGTTTTTCCCCTATTTTATTTTATACATTAAGGTTAATGTATTTGTGGACTCTTTTAGAAATCTAATTTCTATGCTAATGAGGTTGGGGGGGAGGGACCGATCTACCTTGTTGGTGGGAATATAAACTACTGCAATCACTGTGGAAATCAGTATGGAGATTTCTCAAAAAAACTGAACTTAGAAATTCTATTTAACCCAGTTATATCTCTTCTGAGCATCTTCCTGTAAGAGTTAAAGTTGCATACAGTGATCAATGCACACCTTTGTTTATAGCAGCACAACTCATTATTGGAAAACTTTGGAAGCACTCCACATACCCATCAACAAATGACTCGCTAAAAAAAAAAGTGGTATATTTATACAATGGAATACTATTAATCCATGAAGAAGGATAGATTTGAGTCATTTGTCGGGAAAGTGGATGCAGCTTGAGTCTATAATGTTGTGAGATAGATACAGAAAGCTAAATATCATATGGTTTCTCTTATATAAGAAACCCAGAGTATAAATAATTTAAAGAGCAAAATAGAAGATAGATGAGAGGAAACAGAGATGTAGACTTTGTCAAGGTTGAAAGGGATGGGCCAGAGATGTAGCTCAGTGACACAAGCGCCTGCCTGGCTAAGCGCAGGGTCCTAAGTTCAATTCCCCGTACAGGAAAAAAAAAAAAAAAAGAAAGATTGAAAGAGGTTTCAGGATGAAGGAAATGGGAGGGTGGGGAGAAGGATTAAAAAGGATTAAGACGTGATATGCGGATGTGCCAGTGCTCCACAATGAATGTATTTATTATGTATCACAAACACATACTACAAAAAAAAAATCCAGTATCTGTCATCTCTGTTCATTCTTGATACTTAAATTGCCTCCGATTCGATAAGTGGCGATAGCTACAAAGTCTCGGTTTTCCCTTTGGCCTGTCCTCTGTTTTTCCTTTTTTTTTTTTTTTTTTGTCTTTTGAGACAGGGTCTCGCTATGCAGTTCAGGCTGGCCTTGCGCTCACTTTGTCGCCCAGACTGGTCTCGAACTCGCAAGGATCTTCCTGCCTCAGCCTCCCGAGTGCTGGGATTACAGGCATGCGCCATCACTCTCGACTGGCCTGTCCTCCTCGACGCGTACAAGAAATCCCTCGCTTTCCGGGTTCAAATCTTTCAAGGCCTTTGTACTTTCCCTGTCTCTAGCTTGGAGTGCACCATTTCTCCAAGGAGTCCGGTTCCTTTTAGTGCAGAATGGTATTAAGAAACCAAGACCTGGATTCATACGACATATTCCAAAGTATTAGACTGTCACCAGTCCTGCTTGCCGGGGTCACCGTATGAAAGACTTCTGCACTGACCTATAACTCTAACTCTAGCATTGCCGGTGTGACATGGCAATTCCATGCAGCCTGCTTCGTCGGGTGAGAAGAAATCGGACTAGCTAAATATTTCTCCATCTTTTCAGGGTCACTAACAGTTTGAAAATCTGATAGAATCAGTGGTCCGTGCCCTCTCCCCAGGGTCACGTCGAAATAAGCAACACTGCGACCACGTTTCAGGGGGTTCCGGGCCTCGAAGTCTAGAGGACGTGTCAAATCCCTGGTTTAAGGATTCTCTGCTGGGTCTTCAACTATTGACATTCCGCGAGCGGGACGAGATGCTGACAAAGATTCCTCAGCGGCATCCAAGGGTGAACAGATTGCCGCAGAACGAGATGAGGAAGGGGTACAAAGAAAAGAGCCTGTCTGCTCAGCCGCAGGGCTTCACCGGTGCCAAATCTAGGGCGCTCTCCGCCCAGGCGAGCGATTTCGGCGGGAAGCTCCGCAGGTGGGCGGAGGGCGCCCCCAGGCCGGACGCGGGCAGCTGCACACCTCCGGGCGGCCCACCAGGGCTCGCTCGCGTCCCGCAGCTTCCCAGCCCGGAGAGGCTGCGGGCGGGCCGGGC